GACTGAACCCGAACCCGGCCTGACCGACCGATTTGCCAGCTCTAATACAAAATGATAATTTTTATATGAAATATTTGCACTAAATAGCACTAAAACTTAAGTCATTTCCTTAAATAGCACTTAAACAGTTTTATTCTCTAAATAGCACTTTTAGCCATTATACATTAGTCCTCTCGATCAAGACACCATAAAATTCCGATACGTGTTCTGTGATCAAGAACGAGATGCTTCATCTCAAGGTCGGGTCGATAGTGTTCCGGATTCATGAGATCAAGAGTGAATGATTTGTCCACCAGTCATCCAGATTATCAGAATTTGAATTTGGAACTCCAATTGAATCATCAATAATTCAATTTAAATTTCTCGCACAAGCAGTGGCAGACGCACCTTATTGGGGTTGGGGGCATATGCCCCATACAATTTTTTTGTTATGAAAAGATTTTTTTTTAAATTTTTTACGTAAATATGCCCCAAACAAAAGTTAATATGACCCCATTTAGTTAAGATAAATTTAAACTTCTGTTGATATTTTTAGTAAAGTGTATTTTATTGCACATAATTAATTATTTATGAAATAATAGTTTACATTACCTATTAATAAATGTTTTGCATTGAATAAATGTTTGAAATAAAATTTAATATGGATTACTTTTTTTCATTTCATATAGTCTATGTAAAAAATCCGGGGGCGCTGTCCCTGCATACCCTGACCAGTGTTGCCCCGATCTACATAAATTCCTTGATCCCCCATTGCTTGCGAGCTCGTAGAGCAATGCACAAGGATCTGGACCATTTATCATAATTGTCTCCCTTCAAGACAACCTGGGTTAAAAGCATATAAGGATTATCACTCGATGAAACTTGAAAGGATTACCACATTGTCATCATCGTGATCACCGTGTTTCTTGGACGAAACCACCTTAGCTTCTTCGGTTGTTCCTCAGCCATGGCAACATGCAAGGGAGACATACGGAGACGACGACTTGCGAAGGAACGACGGTGGTGGAAGGTTGGCCGATGGCTTAGTACCGATTGACAATAGAAGGTGCCTGGGTTTTAGGCTGCGATAACATAAAAGAATAATATTTGGTGAAAAATAAATTTCTTATATTTCTTCTATATGAATATGAACATAGAAAGTTATTATATATGATCCCACATGTTAAGGATTATATATGGAAACAAATGTAAGAAAAAAATAATAAAGAAAATAAAATAATACATGAATGTACACTACCATTTACAACTAAATAAAATAATTATGTTATCAAAAAATCAAATAATTATAATAAGAATATATACATGATATTAATCATTTCCTTCTTTGACACATACAGTTACAAAGGGGGTTGGTGGGTGTACGGTTTGGAATCACATCGTTTTTTCTAACTAGGGGTATATCGTATCGTTTGATAATCTTGTATTTACGTTTGTTGTCGCTCAACCAAATATGCCTCATGCACATACACCACCTATCTGAGAGCATCACGGCGGCGACCCCCTCACCGTTTCCCCAATTACGCGTGTCGTCCTCCCACTTACTTTCCGATTATATTTGTCATCAAATGAGTCTGGTGGCTCCTCCAGACTCAATCCACAACTCTCTCATTGGTCCCCCTTATGTTCCTTCTATACGAGTACGCAAGGTGGGATGCATTAGGAGAATCAGTAGTAGTTGAGCACGCGTAGGAATACCCGTGCGAGGAGGGAACCAAATTGGAAACAAGAGTTTGTAATGAATTAGAACTATATTACTATTTAATCATTGTAACATACTGTTTTTATAGGTGAATGCAATTATGAGCTCATTTGAGGATTTCTTTATGGTACCTTACCTCGATACTTTTTTTAAACCGTCACGATAGAAAACCTAGTTCACTTAGGATTCAAGATCTCTATCACTATAAATAGGATTGTACCCTTAAGAATAAATAAGAAATAATATATCTCACAACCCTAATCTCTCCCCACTCGGATTGCATGCCGCCTTGGCGCTGCCTCCTTCTTTCTCTTCTCGTCTCATCTTCTTCGAGATAGACAACGCTCTTTGTCTTTTGTATTTGATACATTGTCGTATAATTGGTGCTTTCATTGAGTCCTATGGATCTTACTCACGTCAATTTGAAAAACTTCCAGGAATTCCAAAAACAAATCATAGGACATGTTTTTTCTTACACTACAGCCATGCAAACCTTAAACCAAAGTGTGGAACAACTTCAACGGGATTTTGCAGCCTTCTTAGGCCATCCTGATAAGGTCGGTTCAGATTCAGGCCTTCGTCCAGGCGGTGCGCAACCTCACGATCAAGCTCACGTCATGTCCAAATTCAAGCTCGAGTTGCTAAAAATAGAAGGTGGCATTGGGGCTGCATCCTCGCTTCGCATGGAGCTAGCTAGTGCATGAGTACCATGACTCTCACATAGCTGGTCACGCTAGGGTTCACTGTCCCTTTCACCGGCTTGCTGATGTTCTTTATTAGCTAGGTTGGGATGCAGTCAGATGTTCGCACCTGCATTGCCGCATGTCCTACCTCTCAACAGACAAAGTTTTCCACCCAACCACCACGAGATTACTTCAACGACTGCCAATTCCTGACGTGGGTCCTCGGTTATTTTATTGTCTTCGTGGTGGACAACCTCACTGAATACTCACATTTTGAACCTTTACCGGGAGATTATGATGCTCATCGTACCACCTTTGTATTCACCAGCATGGCTGTGAAGTTACGTGCATAGGAGTCCTAAAAGTACGTATTGTCTCCGCTCACGACAAGGTCTTCATAATTAGTAAGTTTTGGCGTGAACTGCATGCCCCCTAAGAGGGATAAACCTTAAGCACAGTACGTAGTGCGTTCCATCAACAGACATATGGGCAAATTAAATGGAGGTCATGAATTGCACCTTGGATCAATATTTATGGGCCTTTGTTCATACGTCGTATTTTACATAACGGGACCCCAGAAAAGGAAGGATTAGTTAGTTGGAGCGATGATTCTATGGACGACGTCACATGGGAACCCTTGGCTACTATCCAACAATAATTTCCGCATTTACACCTTGAGGACAATGTGAATTCGGAAGGCGGAGAGAGTGTTACAACTGCGCGTACGCAAGGCGAGACGCATCAGGAGAACCGGGAGCAGACGAGCAGTTGAGCACGTGTAGGAGTACCCGTGCGAGGAGGGCACTGAATTGGCAACAAGAGTTTGTGATGAATTAGAACTATATTACTATTTAATTATTGTGATGTAGTTTTATATAGAGGAGCACAATTATGAGCTTCTTGGAAGCTTTCTTTATAGTTCTTTACATCGATGCCGTTTTTGAACCGGCAGGATTGAAAATCTAGTTGACTTAGGATTCAAGAACTCTATCACTATAAATAGGGTTGTACCCTTAAGAAAAATTAAGCAATAAAATATCTCACAACCGTAATCTCTCCCCTCTCGGATCGCATGCCGCCTTGGCGCTGCCTCCTTTCTCTTCTCGGCTCATCTTCTTCGAGCCAAAAACGCTCCGAGTCTTCTCTATCTGATACGTTATCGTATCATCTCCTCACTTCGTATAATACCTCCTGTTGTTGCTTACGTACATTTATTTTTTACTCCCTCCGTCCCATAAAGATGGGTACATTTTGACTAAAGTAGAAACTAAGGGAGGGATAATTTTGTATTGACTTTCCAAAAATACACTTGATGTGATGAGTAAAAGTATGATCTGATGTGTAAATTATTAGAAAAATGTATGATGTGATAGGTAGGGTTTGAAAAAGTAAGGGATAAAAGTGGTTTTTTAATAGAAATGGGAAACAGATTGTGGGACGCAGTTTTTTTGAAACGTGTAAATTTTTTTGGGACGGAGGGAGTACATTATATTATTCGAGCTTGTTCTATAAATTTTCTTTTTGGGTATCTCGTTCTTAAACCAGATTGATGAGAGTTGTACTCCGTAACTATTATCGACGGTGGATACCCCTGACCAGAAGAAAAAAAAATACAAACTGCAAAGCAATGTTTGAAGTAAGGAATATACTTTCATCACTTGTGTCCACTCACACACACACACACACACACACACACACACACACACAAATATATATATATATATATATACACCATGAAATGCATTATCTGTAATGATGGCCAGCTAAGTGCGTGTGTGACATGTTTGGTTTTTCACTCTTATCTTCCCTCCCACATATTTAGGCCATATTCTCATTCACATAATCTGATTGATTCTCGTTTGATTAAAATAAATTCTAATCTGATTTAATATGACCTGAATATAATTATATTTGAAATTATTTTGATTTGATTTTTCTGATCTGATTCTAATAAAAAATAAAAAAAAATTAAATTGAAGAAAACATGGCCTTCAACTATATTTATCATTAAATCTATTATTTAGATTCCTTGATTCTTTCTTCCCTGCATAAAACAAAAAGAATCTGCCAAACTCGACAAAAGAAAGTTTAGAAAAGTAAATGTGAAGATGAGCTGAGAGAACGGATGTCTTATGTGGTTATCCCTTTCATTCCCTAAGCAAAGCATCACTACAATCATTGTTCTATTTTTTATTGTCTAAATTGAAGATAGTAGGTCATTTAAAAGTGAGAAATATATGACTTGCACAAATATATTTTTTTTCAAAAAGGAATACGCTAAATTAAAACAATTAAAAAAAGAGCAAAAAAAGTTATATGTGTCTATTATTGACACCTCATTTGAAATCATCCTTCTTACCGACATTACAAACAATCAAGATAATGTATTAGTGTTGTTATAAGTAATTAGTAATAATAATAATAATAAATGATAATGGAGCAATAATTTGCACACTCGCTAAAAATTAAATAGTTTGAAGTGAAATGGGAAATAAAAGAAAGGAAGGGGACAAAAGTAATGGAATATATTCCCCTCTGAACAGAATTTGGACTATGTTTCCAGATATGGAGTGAGAGTTATAAAAACACACTAACCTTCCTATTATAAAGACGCACACAAACACACACTTCTCAATAAAGAAAGAAGCATCAAAACTATTTTTAATTCATCATCATATTTCTCTCCATCACCTCCACTATATTCATTTATTTATGCATATAAATATGATCTGATATTTTCTTCCTTCATTTTCTTGAAGCTATATATATATATATATATATACAAAATCAATCCAACTTTCCATCACCACACCTTTCCTGGGATTTTTTTTTATACATTTATAAATGGATCTTTCCCCCAATCTGCAGAACAAGGAAAGCAAAAACTTGATTTTATCCAGTGATCCAAAGCCAAGGCTAAAATGGACTCCAGAGCTTCACCAGCTCTTTGTTGCTGCTGTAGCTCAGCTTGGAGGTGCAGAGAGTGAGTTCATATACATACACTGGAACATACATGTTCTTTATTTCTTTTGCTTTTGGTTGTTTATTATTTACTGTTGGATATCACAGTTTTTTGCATCTTTTGTTAATGCACTTTTTTTTAATTATTATTATGATTATGATGTGCATCTCTTTAATAATTAAATAATGGTCAATGCTCATAAGATTTGATTGAAACAAGTCAAACTGAATAAAAATTGTGTGATGGTATTTTTTTTATGATGAAATCCAATCTGAGAGATTCCCAGATTTGACTCAGTTCATCAGAAATTCTTGTCTGAGTTTTTGTGCTGTTAATGTAATGCAGAGGCAACGCCCAAAGGACTGATGAGAGTGATGAACATTCATGGCCTTACCTTATACCATCTCAAGAGCCATTTGCAGGCATTCTTCTTCTTCTTCTTCTTCTCAGTCAAATACTACTGTCAAACTTTTAAATACCCTTAAAGAAAGAACAGGGATGAACTTGTTAATGATCATTGCTGCAGAAATTTCGGCTAGGGAAAAGCCAACAATTGCAGTCGTCCTGCAATGACAAAAACCAAAGTCAAGGTAAGAAATCTTTGAGTTTCTCAAAGTTGATCGAAGGCAAGAAACCAGACAATTGATTTTAGTGTTTAAAAAAGATTTTTTTTTATGCAGATTATCAGCAATCTCTGAGCCAGGAAGGCCAGTCACGTTCAGAGAGCTCTGATGGAGCCCAGCATCAGATGAATGAGTAATATACATTTCCAGTTTACATGGAGTATAACCCAATAATAAAGATTGTATTTTTAGCTTCTAAAGGATTCTGATCTTTCCAGAAGCATGAAGATCGCTGAAGCATTGCAGATGCAAATGGAAGTGCAGAAAAAACTGCAGGAACAAATTAAGGTAAAACCCATTTCTTGTGAACCAATCAAAGGTCATTGGCCACACAAAATGACAATAATTTGTAGTAAAGAAGATCCAGTTTCTACATGAACAGAGTACTAAAACATGTGTGTGTGTGTGCCCGCGCATTTCAGGTGCAGAGACAACTGCAAATGAGAATTGAGGCTCAAGGGAAGTATCTCCAGACAGTTATGAAGAAGGCACATGAAGCACTTTCCAAATATACCCCTTCTTCTTCATCTCAAGCAGAGCTCTCTTCCTTGACAGAATTGGGATGCGTTGGGTGTTCGCAAGAGAGCTCCCTCACCTCATCGGAGAGCTCGGGGAATCACTTGGCTGAGCTTCTTCCATTGATGGAAATGCAGCCAGGGCAGAAGAGGAACAGAAGCATGGTTTCCTCTGTTGATGCTGATAACACCTGTCTTGAAAAAACCTCTCTCCCTAAAAGGATGGGATTCTTGGAAAACATTGATTTGAATGTCAGGTGTGTTAAGGACTTTGATACTTGAAAAAAAATATGGACATGTTTGGGTATATTTGATGGTTAGAATTAGTGGCTAGGGAATGTAAGCAGAAGCAACTGGCCCTTGTTGCTAGTGATAATGTTTGTTTTGATATTTAAAACTCCTAACTTTTTCCTAATAGTATTACATTAACTCTTGATTCTCTTTAGTCCAAATTCATTGGTAGATAAACTACATTATACTAATGTATCAGTGGAGGCATTCATATTTTGTTGGACCATGCTCTCTTGCAAATTTACAAAACCTCCAACTTTTCTACTTCGAAGAGCCCAAAAACTATTTTTAGCTTTTCATTTCTCTTTTTCAAACAAGTTTCTTCTCTTTGATTTGTAAATCACAACTTTTTTCTTGAACTCTAATGAATCATCATCAAATATCACAACTTTTGTACTATCAAAATTCACTCAACATTCAGCTCAAAATCAGTCATGATTTTAATTTGAAGAAGTAGAGAACTGAAATGAAATCAAGTTTAGATTGAAGAGAGAGTGTTATATACATAATTGGAAGCAAAAAAAAAAACAAAAAAGTCCCTAAGCTTCTTCAGCAGTGTGATCAGTGTCCCCTCCTACATTCCTCCTACGGCTGAGAGTGAAACTCACCAAAATCTGACCCCTTCGTCCCCCCCGACCATCCTCGCTCTTCTCCGCCTCCTCCACCGGCATTTCATATCTGCAAACAGGGCAAGATCCATGAATCCCCAGCCACTTCTCAATGCAATCCTTGTGGAATCTGTGCCCACACGGCATCTCCCTGGCCACTTGGAATTCCTCCAGGCATATCGCGCACTCGCTCTTCTCCCCGCCTTCAGAGATCTCCACGCTCCGCAGGGCATCGATGGACGCCTTCGACGCCGGCGGGCGGCCCTCTTTGCCGAGCAGGTCGGCGATCGGCAGGGAGTCTATTACGAACAAGCTGCGCGTCGCCCGGTCGAAGAGGAGGACCGGGTCGAGAGAATCTCCAGCTGGATCCGGGTCTGGGGTCGCGAAGGCCAGGACGAAAGGAAAGAAGGGAGGGAATTCCATGTCCCCGGCGTCAGCTGGTGATGATTCAGATGCCATTCCCGGATGCTGGATTCGGAACACAGAGAGAGAGAGAGAGAGAGAGAGAGGAGAAGAGAGATTCAGGTGAGGGGGGCGAAGAGGGACTGTGAGATTGTTATGGCTATGGAGATACGATGGAGGAGGGGTCTGAGAGGGGAGAGGGTTTTTTAAGGAGACGATGGAAAGTTCGGGAAAGATCGAGAATGAATGTAAAAATATCGCTTGTCCTAGTTGAATTTTATGATGAGCTGTTTGTTTATCTATATATTGGGGAGAAGGGGAAAGGGATTAGGGTAATTCTAGCAATGTTTCGGAAGGATCCAGAATCTTGACTGCTCTTAAATTTTTTAGACCGAAAATTGGTCTCGTTCCAAGTTCCATAAATTGAGGTTTTGATATTGATTCCATCTCAAATTAAATTACAAGTTTATTATTTATATGGTCAAATTTATTTAATTTTTTTATTTTTTTGTGCCGGAAGTATTGGGTTTGTACTCCATCCGTCCCAACTTAAAACAAATGTTTCAACTTATGATGTTTGACTGAATTTATTTATAATCTAATTTAGATGAGAACTGGAGTGGAATTAAAAAATAAAATTTACTCCGTATATATTAAAAATTACATCAAAATCTCTATGACATTATTATACGTAGTATTATTTTATTTAATAAGTAACAAAAATAAGGAAAAACAATGAAAGAAGTTTAATCCAATAAATAATAAACAAACAATTTAATTTGAGTTGGAAGGAGTAAATTAAAACCTAAATTTTTGTATCGTAAATTTAATACTGTAATAGTTGTTGATTCCTTTGAGGTTTGGACCTTGATTGATGGGGGGAGTGAATAGGGCAATATGCATAAATGGTAAAATCTAATGGTAAATCTGCAATGAATGAATACTCATTCATAGACCTGGCAATCGGGTCAATCGGTTCGGTTCCGGTTCGGGTCTTTTCGGTTCAGGTCTCTTTCGGATATATGTTATAATCGGTTCGGGTCGGTTTGGTTCAGGTCAGTTCGGTTCCGAGTTTATTTCGGTTTCGGTTCGGTTCGGGTTTGTATCGGTTCGGGTTTATATCGGTTCGGGTTTATATCGATTCGGGTTTGTAACGGTTCGGGTTATATCGGTTCAGGTTTGTATTAATTCGGGTTGTATTGATTTGGGTTTATATAGATTTGAGTTTATATCAGTTTCAATTTATATTAGTTCAAGTATAATGTAAACACATACATACTAATAAATGAATAAATCACATAATAAATTTAGTTAATTTAGTTAACTATAATTTTTATATACTTTCTATAAAAATACAAAAGTATTTTAACTTAAGTTATAAAATACAAAGTAAAAGATTTGTACATGAAAGTAGTTACATGGTTTGCACCCATAATTTAAATATGTTTTTTTTAGAAACACATCAGCATATGTAAAAATATATAGGTAATTCATTTTCTCCAAATTTATTTGATAAATGAAATATTAATGAATTTGATCAATTTTGGGTCTAATTAGATTCGGGTCTAATCGGATCCGGGTTTAACCGGGTTCGGATTTAACCGGGTTCGGGTTTAATCGGATTCGGGTCTGAATCGAGTCTGAATACATTCAGTTCGGGTTCGGTTCAGTTCGGATCATTTCGGGTGTTCGGTTCTATTTCGGTTCTTCAGTTTTCGGGTCAAATCGGGTTCGGTTCCAAGTTATTCGATTCGGGTTATCGGGTCTGGGTCAGTTTTGCCAGATCTACTCATTCTTGTGTAACGAAATATTCATTTTGTATATACTTTTTAAATTGCATATCCTTTAGTTGAAAACAACATTCATTTACTCCGTTACTCGTAAATGTACATTCTTTATAAACATTATGAATATTGTATAATTTCCAAATGAACATACATATATTTTATATTCCGTAATATATATGCTTTGAGTAAATACTAAAACAATAAATACATTAAATGAATATTTTGTTATTTGAAAATGAATATTTTGTTATTTGAAAAAGAAAGAGTGCAAACTTACACCCCAAGAAATGTTTAAAATCCAAAATGAACTCATCAGCAAACGTAAATTGAAGTAAACGGAGCATTTAAAAGCTCAACAATTGGATTGCATGTGCATAATTAAAACAAGAATGAATATGGATTTTACAATAATACTTGGTATAGATCAAACAGTCCAGTCCCAAAAGGGTGTGTGTGTGTGTGTGTGTGTGTGTGTGTGTGTGTGTGTGTGTGTGTGTGTGTGTGTGTGTGTGTGTGTGTGTGTGTGTGTGTATATATATATATATATATATGCTGCTACTTATATGGTCATATAAGACATTAGAGACAATGAGAGGTGCTCTATGTATCTAGCCTGATATATACAAGTCAGGCACTGTGGCATTCTATTCTTCTCTACCCAAAATCCCCTATACATTCTAAATACATATCTTATCCCATACAGTAATCTCAGCCTAATAAATTTGTGATTTAAAAAAATAAAATAAAAAACTATAGTTGTAATTCAAGAAGCGTTTCACCGACCTGTTAATAGAGATCTCTGTTCAAAACCGTTGATGTGGGGAAAGGGTTAGTCGCCACAACATAAAGCGCGTTTCTTCTCTTGTAGCTTCTGCCATAAGCACAACATCTCTCTAGGATCTTGATAGTGTGCAACTACATAACCGTCTTTGCATCCTTCATTAAAAATTCTCTCGTCTTTTTCGTACCTAACATCTAGACCTTTTCTTTTCAGTTCCGCTATCCAGATCCCCATGGCGACATCTTCCAGCTTAAACATCTACATTTCTCAAAAAACTCAACATTTCAATCTATATTCTAAATGAGGTGGTTGAGAATTTATAGAATGGTTGCCTCTGTCACCTTTAGACGCCCTTTTCTGTGCATCTTGCTGACGGACTTTGCTATATCACTTGACACAACATAGCCAGGTCCGTGAGCCCAAGGAGGGTAAGCATCATCAGGCCATTCCTTGAAAAACAATCGACAGAGGAGTGCAAATATAAGTTGACAAAAAAATGAAGGAATAGAAGAAAATCACCATGGTATTATCAGAAATGCTATGCCCCAATCCCAATTAACACAAGGGGAAAAAAATTAATGCACCGTAGTAAACATCGTAACAATTAATTCTCGCAGTTGTCAAAAGAAAAGCCTGCTGCAAACAAACTGAACATAAAACTGTTTAGTGACATGTTTCTGTTTATCAGCCCATCATGAGCCAGTTTTTTTGCTAAAGACTGACTTGTTTGCTCCATGCTTTTGCTAACCAAAACAGTTTATGTGGGGCATGGGGTGTGATCTATTACTCCCTCCGCCCCACTATTTTTGGGAATTGGGATATGAGGGAGTGACATAGAAATTGAGAAAAGTAAGATTGTGTGGTTGGTATTGATGTTAAAAGGTAAAATAAACTTCAACTATTTCAGCCACAATTTCAACAATTTCAGCATCTCCAGACATTTCAACCAAAATCATTCCTACCAAACAGGGTCTAAGAATTGCAAAATGCAATGCAACATTATGCAAAATTTTGACTATTGCAACCATTTTTAGAGCTCAACAATTCAGCCATTAACAACCATTGCAGCCACACTACGAAATTATGTTCCCACGCAGATTTTTTTTTAACTATTTAGCACCACCGAATTCTCACCATCAATCTCTTATTAAAAGCAAGTACTCCGTCACTCCATGTGAAATAGCATTGAAACTTTAAGTTCCAACAATGCATTTGATAATTAAATATGAGACAAGATATGGAGGTGAAAAATACCTCGACACTAATGTACCACTTGCTATCTGGATCTCGATGAGGATGCGAGTCTGAGTTGATAAGGCCATAAAGCAAGCCACGAGTCACACCAATCCCTTGTAAAGAAGTCAACACTTCATCCACACGAACAAAAGCATCATCATCTGTCTTCATTACAAATTTTGCTTGAACGATCTCCGTCTGCAAAATAGATGACATCAGCACACATTTTGACAAGCTCATTGGCTAAGAGAGGGACAAGATTATACCCCAAACATGCATATGGCTACAGTCTTCCATGTAATTAGGCTGTAGTAGTCAACAAATGGCACCAACTGAATGTCTCTATACGTCCTAGCCTCATTCCAGAGTTCCTCATTCACCATCTGGTTTTTATGCTACAGTAGACAATACAAAATTTAACAAAAAAACATTATGATTTTGATTTGATAAATTTTAGTATAACTTCAAATCCATCTATGTTGTACTCCCTCCGTCCTGAAAACCTGGGAGGCTTTGATTTTTAAGAGATTTAAGAGGAGTGTATTTTGGTGTTGAGTTTCCAAAAATGTCCTTGGATGTGATGGGTAAAAGTAGGATTTGATAGATAGATTAATCAGTGGTGAATAGATGTAATGTGATAGGTAGGTTAGGAATTAGTAGGGGTAAAAGTGACTTTTTAATAGATATGGGAAAAGTTTTTAGGGACGGATGAAAAAAGAAAGAAGAAAGGGTTTAAGGGAATTAGCAGAAATGATACTTCCTCTGTCCAACTTTTATCATTTTTCCATTTTTGCCTATCCCAAATGCTAGTCGCGTACCATACATATTCGGTATAATTTATGTGGCTCAAATCAATTCGAATTTTAGAAATTCAATGTCAACCGTACAATTATACTTTTTCTAAATTTGAATCACTCCCATATCCCAAAATTAGTAGGATGGAGAAATATACTAACAGAGTAGCAGTATATGATCAAATTTTCGGCCTCTACAGAATATCGAAGTCACAGTTATATATGTGGATGGCACTCTGTTTTTCTGACAATGATCTCTAACTACTGCCTCCGTCCCACATTAGCCTCCCAATTTATGGTTTTAATCCATCTCGAAATGTTTATCTTATACCATATTCGGAAATAATTATGTAGCGCAGAATAATTAATACATTGAATGTGAAGCTTGTGAACCACACTATCTCCTTGGTTATTCTGCTGCTTTTCTTTGTCACAAAGACTTTAAGACTGAGGGAGTTACTATTTTCTTATATTCATGACATGGGATGTTGAAAAGGTATAGCGGGAAGAGATTGTGTACACACAAAAAACACACTCACCATTCCAACAAAGAAACGAACTGCTACTTGTCCAGTCCGCACTGCATCATACTGCATCCATGTTCGTCGAACTGCCATTCTCCGCTTAAAATTGTTTGCAGTAGAAAACACACCAATAAAGAGATCTAGA